ATTAATTATATGAAAATATTTATATATGGCAAAATTTAGACTAAAGTATATTTTTAGTTTTTTAATTTTATACAAGATTTTAATTTGGTCATATGTTAAAAATATATTTTTAGTCCTTCAACTCTAAAACCATTAATAGAAAATGATGATATTAAGATATTAAATATTAATAAAAGTACTAAAAACATACTTTTTAAAGTTAAAAGACTAAACTAAAATCTTGTATAAAATTATATATTTTTCCTAAAACTTAACATTTATTAAATAAAACAAAAATATAATTGAGTTTTTCTTCATTTTTCTTTTGTGTTTTTCCTTCCCCTCACTTTTTTTCACTTATCAAGTGTAGCATAAAAGACAAACTGCAATGCTCTAAAGACGAGAATGAGCGATACAAATATAATATTTAATCCAAAAATATAATTCTTCCTTCATTATATTAATTGGTCCTTTTTACTAATGCTAACAGGAGTAGGAATTGTTTCTTTATTACTATTATCTATATGAACTAATTCTTTATTAGTTTCCAATATCGGTGGTATGAGAAAATGAGATAAGGAACCCATTGATCACACTAAAATGAATTCTAATTAACAACGCTAAACTTATTATAGAATTAAAAGAACCAAGATTTTAGTTGGCAAAAAAAAGAACCAATTTTTTTTTTCTATTCCCTTAGTTAGTCAATGCTTAGACTCAATTAAAAAAAATAAAAATGAGTTGGGTGTTCAACTGAGTCCTACCCAAAGTCCAAAGCTCTCTTTTTTTCACTCATGCAAACTTTTTTTTTATAAAAAAGGGGCCCCTTTCGTAATATTGTAAGAAAATTGATTTTTTTTTCCCTCCTCCTTCTTCTTTCATGTAACTTTTTATGTTATATATATAAGGTTAAAAATTATATACACATATATATATAGCTTGCCCACTGACTGACAGAGGAATAATTCTTTTGGTAGAGAAGGGGTTTGAAAGTTTAAAGACAACAAAAGGGGAAAAAATGGTTCTATGTTGATTTGCATTAACAATTAAACTCATATTAAGTTCAATAAATTTTTTTAAAAAAAAATAAGAAACCTTTCTACCAATAAATTGGACACCTCTTTTGCCAATAAAATTGAACTATTTAAATCTATTCTTTCTAGGTAAAAAATTAAATAGGATATCTTTGGTTTCAGAAAACAAGATACATTTTAAGTTGAATTATCGTTGACATGATTTGTATTACTTAAACATTTATTTTTATGATTTATATTATTATGTTTGTTTTGATATCAAAATTCAACCTAAGTTTTATAGGTAATCCCAAGTTAAGTAAAAGATGAGAGTTGTATTAGACTTTTCACGGCTAACATAAAACTGCATCAAATCTTTACGATATAGATCAATGAAAAATTTTTCAACGAATTTATTGAGCCAAACATTTTGGAGTTAATAATTTATCTAAAATTTTAATTGTTAATAAAACATAACGAATGTACAATTTTTATATTCAGATGAGACAAAACTAGTTATTCTTGTGTGCCTTTATTAAAAAAAACATTTTTTTAATCAATTTGTTAATGCTCATTTGATAGCTCCAGGCTAAGTCAATTGCCACCATACAACTAGCATTTTGACCGTTCAATTTGAAAATTTAATTAAAAAATATTGAACCATTGTGAAAGCAGATTGGTCAATCAACAAAAAACATTTTCTTAAATAAATAGACTTGTGTCTTGAAATATAATAATATAAGAAATTTTAAAATGTAGATATATTTTTAATCCCTTCTTGTTTGGTTTGGAAGGTAGGGGCCGGGGACCGGAGAGAGGTACTAAGTCCTAAACTATTAAATTTTTTGTAATTATAATTTACAATTTATGCATACATTTTTTGTAAAATTATAAAATAGCAGCCAACTTAACAAATTTTAGTCCTTACACATGATCTATGATTTATGAGAAGCATAATTTTAAAATATTGTCAACTTAGAATGGTTTCCATTATACACACTCTCGACACTCCATTCAGTACCTATTATAAGCATATAATATTAACTTTATATAAATTAATCAAATTAGTTAAAATTAGGTACTACCTCCTATATCTTCTAAATAGAGGAGCTAAAAAAATTAAGAGGAACTAAATAAAGATATTGTTTTCGTTCTAAATATAAGTCTAAAGTCTACTTCCAAATCTATAATTTTTTCTTCAAGATATCCCTAGTGATTGCACATATTAAAAAGTCTTCATCATGAGATAATTCTAATGCACATGATTACAAATGGCAGCTTAAAAAAATCAACACATATCTGTTACCAACAATGATCTTAACTAATTTCATTAATAGCCACAAATAAAATTATTTATTTACCTATTATATTTAATATCAGAGGTAGTATTTCTTATGAAATATTAAAATTACCCTCAATAAAAGTTAGTGGTTAGAAGAGTTTAATTAATTAGTGAGGAAGTTTTATAATTAGTTAAAAACATTAGGAAGTACATGGTTTTCAACTTCTAGTTTTTATATGACTATGTCATTGGCTTGGATTTTAGCATTGTCTGTCCTTTTTACAAGTTAATACTCCTCCGATACTTAATATAGAACTCAATTGTTGAGTTGATTTTGATCCTAAATATAAAACTCATTTCTCATATTTATCAGCTTTCTCTAAATTACCCCTATAGATATTCTCTCAACCATAATTAAGTAAAAGAAGAGGAGGTATTAAGAAAGATGATTATAGTATTTTAGAAAAAATGTGTCACATTTCTTATAATTAACTAACTTACCTAACTTCCTTAATATCATCAAATTAATTAAATAGGTCTTATATTAAGTACCCGAGGACTATAATTTTTTATTTTTCAAAATTTGATTCTAGTTTTATTTTTTGCAATTTGAAACGGTTGTTTTTGTCTCTCAAATTTAATATCATTTTGACTTTTGTCTCTACAATTTGAAAATAAAGATTTTGGTTCCTAAAATTTAATTTTATTTCGGTTAATATTTTCTAAAAATCACTATGACTGATTTTAAATTTAGATAACAAAATCAAAATCATGGTAATAAATTGCAAGGACCACACCTTTTGACCAACGCTGTGTAGTTCAGTGCCGACTATTTTGGTCGTGTTCATTCTAGCATGTTTTCGTTACAGTTGCACACCCAGATGCAATGCTTGATCCAATGGAGGCAGTTTCACTTTCATTTGATTTGAGTATTCATCAGACCAATCGCTGTCTTTGTTCCCTCCTCATCTCTGAATTTTTCTTCTTCCCTCTTCACTCTTCACACTGGTTCCCTCTTCGCCATTAATATCACAAACGCCTTTCCGTTTTCCTCTCGATAAGTCTCTTTTCTCGCCGAACAAACATCTCTTTCATCCCCTCTCAACAGTTCTTTTACTGTGGAATCTTTGCTTGAAAATTCGCCCGTGCTCTTAGACAATCATAACTGCACATCTTCCTCACTCCTCACTCATTTTCCCAGAATTTATGAGCCCAATAAAAGCCAAGTTGAACCGTGTTTAGTATTGGTGTTTCTAGGGCTAAATTACGAGAAAATGTTTGGGGCGAATCGGAATCATCCTTTTGCCCGCGGGTCTTTGACAGCTGTATTGGTCTCTCGTAACCCAAATTTTCCTTGTTTTCTTCCACACATTCTCTTACCTTCTGCACATTGTGTCTCCACATTGGCTCAATTATGCAGTCCCCCACCTCACCTTCCACCTGTCTGTAACAATGCCTCATCGAGATTGTGTAAAGTTGTAACCATCTAACCTTTTCTTTTTTTCTCTCTTCTTTATCTTATAGATAAGAGATCTTGACCTTATTGGGCCAATCTCACATGATATCAAAAGAAAGGCCATGTCAATACTCTGAGGCCTCCAGTCTTTTTCCCAATCTGATGAGCACTAACTATTTGGCATAAGAAAGAAAATCTTCATCAACAATTATTGGCTTGGTTGGTTGAGGTAATTTGGGTTAAGCTTGAATTTCACCCAGTAATTTTATCTAACCTACAGTAAATAATATTTTCTTGATGTCCAAGCATTATCTTTTTTCTAAGCTTTTGGATTAAATGATTGAGCTGGTAGGGGGAAAAAGCAAAAGTTAGGACTTCCATGTGCAAAGTTTTTATATTGATAAATTTCTTTAGTGGTCAGTTTTTTCTAGAAGATGTTTTAGCGTTTATGGATTAATTCATGCCTTCCTCTGAAAACTTTATTTTTTTTCCCTTAAAAAAATGATCAATCCAAGCTCAAGTCTCAAGTTATTCATTTTTTATGTTGATATTATGTGAATTTATAATTTGGATCCTTAAGTGAGTAATCTACAAGGTACTTGTGAAGGGGGAAAAAAAACCTTAAACTCTCTTTAATTATTTTCAAATAGTGACTTTTTTTTACATCACGTTTATACGTTTCTCTTCAACTCATGGATAATTGCGTGAATCTGTTATATATTGTTTAGACTTTAAAACTCTTTTGGTTTTCAAGGGTTAATCAAATACCTTGCTTTAAATGGACATTTTGGATGTAATACTTAATTCTGTTCTTTCAAGACTTCTAATATGTGATTTGGCGCTTTAATCGTCAGTGATATATTTTTGTTGACATATATCATCATAATAATTATTCTTATGTACCAGAATAATGAAACTAAATTCAACTGCAAAAAAACAAATTCGCGTTATAGAAGGATGGGCCGCTTGTCCTTGCCATGTTTGATATTTTCTCATAAATAGCAGGGCCAACTGGAGGGATGGTTTTGTAATTTCACGCCCAACAGACATATGAACATGCTTGCTACAGTTGAGAAAACCAGAGGACCCATTGAACTGAAAGGAATTTCTCATGCCTCATTAAGAGGCTCCCTAAATGAAAACAAGATAGTTCTGCCTTTTTTTTTTTCATTATTTTTATCTATTTTTTCTTTTTTTCTTTTTCTTTTCCTTCTTTTTCTTTTCTTTCCTTTCTTCTGTGTAATGCTTGCTCTTGAAGGCCCACATTTTGAACAGAGGGAAAAAAAGGGTGGGAATTGTGAATGATTGGTTTCACCCACAGACCTCTTTTCTGAGTGCGTATGTAGTTTCAGCTCCTCCTGATAAGTAACAAAGAAAAGAAAAACATCTGCATCTTTCTGCATTTTCTGATGAAAATCAATCTCGACCTTCTGGGTATCTGATATTATAAAGAATGTTTGATGATTTCAAGGCTTTATTCTTTCTGAGTTTTCTGACATCACTAGCACTTGTTTCAAAGCACCTAGCTCCCTGAATTGGTGGTTCTTGTCCTTTTCAACGAATTTTTGCAGGATTTCATGAGATGGGTAAGCAATCAAACTTAGATCTCACTCCAAATCTGCTTAACTTTCATCATGCTATCCACTATCTTGACTTGTGTGCATTGCCGTTTTGTTTACTTTAATGTTAATGGGCACAGCACTTGGCCTTCTATGCCACTACTTCTGCAAAAAGTTAAATCTACGACAAGTTCTGCAAATTATTTGTTTGTTTCTTCACGAGTTCAATGCTCCAGTCTGTAACGTACAACTTCATTGCTTAGTTGCCTATTAGAGACATTTAGAAGATTTACAAGAGGGGATTATCTAATGGGCATATTATCAGATCACAGAAATTGTAGTTGTTCTATGTGAGATTGTTAAATGGCAAAGAGGAAGAGCTGGTTTGGTTTCGTGAAGAGGCTGTTTGTATGGGACGCACAGTCCAAACCAGAGAAGGTAAAAGTAAAATCCTCAGCCTTTTTCTCTGTTAATTCATTCTGAAATGATTCTTTGTAACTAATAAGACTCAGCTTTTTCTCTTTTCCTTAATTCTGAAGTAATTCTTAGTGACTGATAGGACTCAGCTTTTTCCTTTTTTTTACCCCAGAAAGAGAAAAGAAGGAAATGGATCTTTGGAATTGGAAGGCTAAAGATAAAGAGATTACCTTCTATTACAGCTCCACCAGCAACACAAAAAGAAACAAAACAAGAGGTTGAAAAGCTCAATAATGGCAATCAATGTTACGAAGAAACTGAAGAATTACAAATTGTTAACTCCAGAATTGAGGCTCCTCAACCCACATCACAATGCCATGGCAAGATTGAAGAATCTTCAGCCATCAAAATTCAAACTACCTTTCGGGGTTATCTTGTGAGTTTGTTCAAGCTCCTTTTTTCCCCCTGATAGCTTAAACAACTTTTTTCCCATCATGTTTATCTTTTCTGCTAAATGCTCACAGATGAATTAGGAAAGTTTCATGAAGTATAATCAAGTACTGAAAAACCGTAGTTGAACAAAATTTCAGAGGGTGAAACTGCTAGTTTAAAAGATTACGTTTTCCTTAATTAGTACTTTCAAAAACAAGAATGAGATGGCTCAAGACTTTAAGAGAAGAAATCACTCTAGTCATCCTTCTTTTGGAAAAAAAAAAAAATCCTAATTTAGTCTGAAGAATTAATCCAATAATCTCATCATTTTTTAACCGGTATGACATTACAGGCAAGGAAGGCTCTAAGGGCATTGAAGGGAATAGTGAAGCTACAAGCTATCATTAGAGGCAGAGCAGTAAGGCGGCAAACTATGAGCACCCTCAAGTGCTTGCAGTCACTCGTTGATATCCAGTCACAGGTCTGTGCCAAGAGACTCCAAATGGTTAAGGGAAGATGGGATTATGATGAAAACCAAGAGATTCCAAGTTCAAGGGACAAGATAATCAGGGTAATCTTACAAGTTCTCTTCTCATTGCAAATTCTAAAGCAAATTCTACCTCTCTTTTCTCAAATCATGGAAACTTATAAAAGAAGAGGAAAAATGATAGTCTAGGAGTCTTAAATTTATATTAATGACAGTTGGATGCCTTGAAGAATCAAAATTTCTCTTTAGAACTCTAGAAATAAATTATTAGTGTATCCTGAAATGATTACTCTTGCTCCTCAAAGTTATAACATGATCTTCATGCAAGAGTTTTCGATTTAAAGGTTTGTAATTTAAAGAAGATCGGGTTGTAACTTTAAAGAACTCGGGACGGTAACTTATTTTCGTGGTTCTTAAGAGGTCTGTGTGACATCAGGAAAATAAAGTTATAACTTTAGAGAGCATGGTAACTTTAAGAAGCATGAGTAGAGAAATTTTGATTCATTAATATAAGTTATAGGTATTTAACTGACATATTTTTCTTAAAAATGATTTTGAAGATTACACAACCTTGTAAAATGTGAATGCTGAATTATAGATTCGTTTTTCAGATGGATTCAAACGGTGAAAGGAGGTGGGATGACAGCATTTTGTTGAAGGAAGAGACAAATGTTTCTCACATGAGCAAAAAAGAAGCAGAAATTAAGAGAGAACGAATGAAAGAATACTCGTTCAATCATCGAGTAAGCTCTTGATTCTTGTTTTTGGTTTCTCATAATCATAGTATCCTCGCACGTAGAAAAACTCAGATTGTTAAAGAAAGATGTTACTTTTTCTAACTAAGCTAACCTTTTGGGGTAAATCTTTATATTTTTCTTAAATATCAATTTTTTTCATTACCATACCTAGGTTCAAAATCATGCATATATATAGTTCTGATGCTAAATTTACTTTACTTGAAATATAATCCCAGAGATCAGCAGAATCAGAGAGAAAGAAGGTAAATGGAAGATTGAGGTATTGGATGGAGCAGTGGGTAGATACTCAACTTTCCAAAAGTAAAGAACTTGAGGATCTGGATTCAGTTTACAGTTCACATTACGGAGCAGGGGAAGAAGATGGAAGAACAGGAAGAAGACAGCTACTTCTGAGAAATATTCAGAGTCAAAGGCAAAATCAGATTGAAGGCCTAGGCCTATATTCTCCAAAACTTGCTCCAGTAAGAAAACTTTCTCCTCACAGAAGGCAACATTCTCTGGGAAATGATGAGCTTTCAAGCCCTTCTGTACTTCCCCCATACATGGCAGCAACAGAATCAGCCAGAGCAAAAGCAAGATCTTCAAGCTCCCCAAAACTAAGAACGGTGAATGTGGATCCAACAAAACTTGATGGGAACTCACCATGCAAAAAGAAGCTATATTTTGTATCTTCTTCCATTAACCAGCCAAGATCTCCAAGTTTAAAGGCAGTCTCAGGACCTATTAGAGCAAGCAGGACAATGAAGGATCTCAGCATCAACTCTGATAGCTCATTTCTGTACGGATACAATAGAGGTAAATTGCTTCAGGCGTTTTCTGTCAAGGTTTCCTTTGAGAACGTGTTGTGATTTTATTGGAGAATGTGTTAAAAAATTATTAAAAAAGAAAAAAAAAAACTAAACCTATTTTCTTCTTTCTGTAGATTGGGATGGGCCAGGTATTTTCAAATGAGGCTTTGGATCCTGATGCTGCTTGCATTAACAGAACCCTGTGGGTTTTGAAGAGAATGACTCTGTTCCTTACCTTGTAAATTTTGAGTGGATATAATTGTTTTTTATTTGTGTGAACATCAATGTCAAGATTGGCTGCCGAGGGGAAAACAAAGGCTCATGCCTCGTCTGGTTGTGGTTGGGAAGGAGAAAATCAACTCCTTTTGTTGCTTCTCTTCATAACGTTTATTGTATCTTTGTAATTATTATCTAATAGTTTTTTTTATTTTATATCTCCTAGGACTTTTAAAAGTGAAGATGTTAAGTTAATTATACACTGTTGCATAGTTTTTATTTTATTTATTAATCTTATGTATGTCTGTTTGCATGTATATCAGATTCTAACTCTCGTATGGCGTTGACGTGAAAGCAAGTTTTTTTTCTAATTATAATTGACCATTATCATTTTAAAAAAAAAAATTAAATATATAATGAATTTCTTATTTCAAATTGTCTGGTAAATATGATAAATTAAACTTATCATGTTAAACTAGAAGATTTTTTGGTCTTTTAATCTCTAGAACCCACCTAACCTTTTTTTTTTTTTGGTGAAAACCTTTTTTTTTTAACAAACGGAAAAGACATTTATGTACGAAGGCCTCATGGTGTTAGGTGGGTGCCAAAATTGGGGTTGTTGAACGTCAAAAAAGTTATGGGCCTTTGTGGTGACCCAAAAATAAGATGGGCCACTTACTCAATGAAAATTGGATATGCGAAGGATTTATCTTTCTTCTGATTGTTCATTAGGCTCTTTAATGTTTTTTTTTTTGAAAAGTTGTATCATGATTATGTTATATAAATAGATATTTAAATACCATGGATGTATATATCATTGAAAATTTAATTATAATTAGATAAAAATATGAATAAAAATAAATTTTCTTCAACTATCAATAATATTTATACTAACATAGCATCATGCATTTGCAAAAGGGCAATGAAATGATTATAAACTTGGAAAAAAATTGTATTTTCTTATCCTGTATATATTTATAATAACATAACATCATGTTTTAATGATTTTTCAAAATTTGGATAGAGTTTACATTATTAAATATGTGGGAATGGACTAAAACATAAAATGAGAACGGTAGAATAAATCCTCTCACCAAATAAACTCGGAAAATTGTATTTTGTTATCCTGTATATATTAAATAATTTTAAATAATTTAAATTTTTTATATATATTTTTGAAACTTTCAAATCAAATAAAATAATCTGGCCGAAAAAATCAAATCAAGTAAAAATCACGTGCCCATATAATAATGACAAATCATATAAATAAACCATAAAATCATCACTCACTATTTTATTATGATGTAAATAAAATGTCACATGAAACAGACATTCTATTACTAATTATAATATCATTATATAAATAAAATATTTAATTTAATTTAATACTACCTCCGGTCCTTAATATAAGACCTTGTTTGAGTTTTATCTTGGTCTTAAATATAATACCTCAATCTACTTTGTCTCTCATATTTATATATTTTTTCTCAAAGTAGTCTTTCTAGCAATAATAATCCTAGCTAATACACTAGATTAGTAAGGATATTTTAGAAAAGACAATATATATTTATTACAAATAACTAACTTAATTTCTTTTCTTAATCTCTTCAAATTAGTTAACTGTTTTTATAATTAGGACCGGAGGTAGTATTTATTAACAATTATAAATAACGTGACATACTATCAACTCTAAAATATCTTTTCGACTTCTTCGAGAATAATTGTAAATACATGTGAGACAAATAAATTCTTTGAACCTAACTTTGTCCAAGTTCAAGTGAACGAGGATTTTTTAAAAATAAGAAAAGACAAGTAATCCTAATGAGCAATATGAAAACAATGGATTTAAAGGTAGTTAAATTTATATTCAATTTATTTTATTGAGTGTTCTGATACACATGAAAAAGTAACAATCATTTGGAAAAAATTTTAAAAAAAATTTCCCAAAGTCATAGTCATATTTACATAATTAAAACGATGATTAGCTGACCATTAATTAATTCTCTTTATAATATTTTATAGCCAAAAACAAAACAAAAAATAAAAGTAAGTTTCCAAGTTCTATGAATCTAGTAGACATTAAAATTTTCCAACATTGTACTAATTGGAAACGTGAAAGTGAAGATGTGCCTCCACTTAATTATGTTGTTGTGAGTTGTGGGTGAGTTGTGGGTCTTTTTTTGGGTCAAAAAGTTGTGACTTTTATTTTTTGAGTTGTGACTTTGAGTTGAAGAAACACGGCACCCAACATATGTCCTTGGACTTGGACCTAACCAACGTTCCAAAGTCAGAGTACATAGATTTGAATTTTTAAATATGTTAATTAAAATATTATAAACACTTCAATTATTTGTTGGCCTTCAAGAATTAAATTATTTTGAAGATTAAAGTTATCATCAATTTAAATTATTCTTTAAGTGTTAAGAAAATTATTATTCATTCCTTTTATAAGATACACATCACTAAAATAACTTTATAAAAAAAATACAACTTATTTTTTAAAAAAAAAAAGTACCCAAAGAGTAAGTGACTAAGTAGATAATTAATGCAGTAAAACTAAATAATAATTAATGAGTCAAAAATAAAAGAATAATATTAAGAGTTTCAAACATGTTATTAACATCACATATGAATAGAAACATGTCTATATATAGAATCGAGAGGAGCATAAATTTTACAGAATTGTAGTTTAAATCACTTTGATAATAACTTTCCTAAATCTAATATTAAAATATTATCCTGAAATATTTGTAATTTAAAGTATTTTCAATATGAATTTAATGAAGTTTGAGTCACTTTCATTAATAAATGTAAATTACATACACTTTTTCAGATTTTATTGAAATCACAAGAACTTTTTTTCTATTTAAATAAAAATGAAAATGACATCCAATTATTTTTTTGAAAATAATAGAAAGTGGTTTTATAATTTAAATATATAGGCATGTAAGATTTGAATTTGACCAACGCACAATGCAATACATTCTAAGTTTCCACGTAGATACTCATTAATTTCAGTGAGTGCACAAAGCACTTTGTTAATCACATGGACTTATTATTTTCAACACAAAACAAAAAGTTTAATCGAGCACTCCATTGAAAATTGAAGACGTGAAACACCCACTTATTTGGTCAATATTCTCATAAGCTTCCACGTAATTTAGCTAATCATCAAATCTCAATTGACTATTGTAATTGGACAAAGCACTTAATTCAAATTATATATATTTTTAAAAATAAAGTTCAAAAGAATTTGATAACTAATCTTTAAAATCTTATAACCCATTCACACCAAGCGTTTCTTTAGGTTTTGGTTTAAAATTAAAAAAAAAGAAGAAGAAGCAGAAAGTCTCCTTAAGTATTACTTCAAACATGAGGTTGTGAGTTCAAAGTCCCTGTAAATTATACTAACTCTAGTTTTTAATATAAGAATTACTTAACTAATTTAAGTAGATTAAAAAAATTAGTTAAATTAGTTATTTGTAATAAAAAAAAGTGTTGTATTTCCTAAATACTCTTACTAATCATGTGTATTAGCTAGAACTAGAGTCGAGAAAACAGGCTGAACCCATCGGTCGATTCATTTAAGCCTGTTTAAGTCGAGGGTCGAGCTTGTATTTTAGAGCCTTGAAAGGAAAGTTGGGCTTAAAATGGCCAGTCCTGGAGGACCGAAAAATAACCGGACCAGCCTGTTTAAACCCGCCAACTATTTTTTAAAAAAATTTCCATATTTTTTCTCAACTTAAAAAAGAAAACTCTAATATTTTACACATAACACACTATTAGTTTTACTCACTCCAGCAGCTCACATAGACAACATTCACGAAAAAAAAAAGAATCATTATAATTGTTGGAAAAATAAAAAAAAAAAAGGTGAAAATTACAAAATTTAAAACTAGGTATATTCACAAAAATGTGTTGCTATTTATAAGCTATCAAAACCTGTTAAAATATAGTATGTCTAATTTTTACTGTCTTTATTTGTCATTCTCTCATATTTTTTATGCTTGAAATAGAATTAATTAAAGAATCTTTTGAATTAAAGTAAAGACCTATATTATTTTTATAGTTAGAAATGAATTTAGAACGAGGGACGATGGGATTTTTTCTTTTTTGCCAGTAGGACGAATGATTATGCTTTATGTATATTATATTTGTTAGAGTTACACTTTTTTGTTAATTATTTATAATTAAACCAGATCATCCATATTGTAATTATTTGTTGAATTTAGTGCTTATTTAGTTGTTTATGTCTCTTCCATTTAGTTTGTTTATTCAATAGACTCTATTATACTGTGATAGATGTTTAGACATAATGATATTTATGTTTGTGACTTAATTTTATTTATATCTATACCTTTTATTAGTAATTTTTATCATTTCATTTTTATTACTTTGATAAAATATTAAAAAAACTATATTTTAGTTTAATGGGCCAAAAAGCTCGTAGGCTAGCCCAAGCACGTCATCTCACGAGTTAGGCTTGAAAATATTGGTCATTTTTTGGTCAGCCCGTTTAGGCCCAAGCCCGTCACGGACTGGTCCTGCAGGGCCAGACCGGCCCATTTTTCTAGTGTTAACTAGAACTAACATTTAATAAAATCTTTAATGTGTGTAACTATTACAAGAACTATTTTTCAAAAAAAATATGAGAGATAAAATATATTAGAGTCTTATATTAGAGACCAAATTAAATGTCAAACTAGCACTTATATTAAGAACATGAAGTAATACGATAACACATGAATTATCAAAAAAAAAAAAAAACAAAGCTTGACAACTAACTGTATGGACCAGCATAAATTTTACCATTCAAAGAGTGTTTATGAATTACCCATTAATAACGTAAGAAAAAAAATTCAAAATTATGCACAAAATCTAAGTAACATCCTTACTAACTAGATCAACTTTTAATTAGTTAGAGATATTTTGACCAAAAAATAATTAGCTAGAGATATAAAATTTTTTAATAAACATTGTTCTTGTAGATATTCTAGAGAAAATTTGAAATAGACATTAAAATTTTAA